CCCAGAGCAGCCACCATGCCCGCACCTGGTAGGTCAGCTCCTTGATGCGACGCTCACTCTTCCTCATGCCCTTGATTGACTCCGCATTGCGCTTCTGCTCGGCTTCCAGCTCATTCTCCAGCTCCCGCACCCGGGCCTCCAGCTTCTGCAGCTGCTTCTTGCCCCCCTTGAGGGCGATCTGCTCGGCCTCATCCAGCCGGTGCTGCAGGTCCTTGATGGTCTGCTCCATGTTCTTCTTCATGCGCTCCAGGTGGGCGCTGGTGTCCTGCTCCTTCTTCAGCTCCTCTGCCATCATGGCAGCCTGGGGTCAGGAGAGAGGTCTAAAAGAACTGGGCCCAGGGCCCCCTGTCCCTCAAGGATCGGCGTTTTCCCAGCCTGGTGTCTGTTTCCCGAGGCCTGCCAACCCACGTAACCATAGGAGTCGGCTTGTCACGGCGCAGCGGCTTGGCCGGGACCCAGGGCCCTTGTTCATGTCTTTAGTGGGGGCGGGAGGGGAGCGGTCACTCACATCGGTGATGGCCTTCTTGGCTTTCTCCTCGGCGTTCCTGCACTCCTGCACCGCCTCTTCCACTTCTGATTGGAGCTGGGACAGGTCTGCGTCCATCTTCTTCTTCTGGTTGATGAGGCTGGTGTTCTGAGGATCAAGGTGGGCGGAGGACAAAAGGCACTGAGCATCCAGGGGTGGCTCCCAAACCTCACCCGCTGGGCCCCGCCAGCTGTGCTTCCCTCCATGACTTCGCAGGGGAGCCGCTCACCTGGGAGTGCAGCAGCTGCACCCGCTCGCTGGTCTCGATCAGCTCCTGCTCGGCCAGCTTCCGAGACCGCTCCGTCTGCTCCACCATGGCCCGCAGCTCCTCCAGCTCCGCCTGCAGCAGGTTGTTGCGCCGCTCTACGATGGCGATGTTCTCCTTCAGGTCGTCGTTGGCGCGGACCGCGTCGTCCAGCTGGATCTGGGTGTCCTGCACACCAGGAGGGTGGGCACGAGAGAGGGGTTGGCCTCTGGGCCCATCAGAAGGCCGTTCGGCTAGGCTGGGTGCCCGGGGAGGTGGGGGGGGAGCTCGATGTGCTGGGTCCGGAGGGCCTGTGGGATGTCTCCGCAGTAGCCAGGAGGAATCTGCTGCTGTAAGGGGACACCACCACCCAGCATGGCCACATGGAGGCCAGTCCGTCTCTGGGTAAGGTGACTTCCTGCTTCAGGAGTCTCCCCGTACCTTCAGCAAGCTCTGGAGACCCTTGACTTGTTTCTGGGCCTCAGCGGCCATGCGGTTGGCGTGGCTGAGCTGGATCTCCATCTCGTTGAGGTCGCCCTCCATCTTCTTCTTCACCCGCAGGGCTTCATTGCGGCTGCGCGTCTCCGCGTCCAGGGAGGTCTGCAGTGAGTCCACCACCCGCAGGTGGTTGCGCTTGGCCTGCTCCATCTCCTCGTCCTTCTCTGCCAGCTTCCGCTCGATCTCGGCCTTGATCTGGTTGAACTCCAGCTGGGCCCGCAGGATCTTGCCCTCCTCGTGCTCCAGGGAGGCCTGGGAGGGGGTGGGGAGGGAAGGTCGGAGGCAGACTGTCAGGGCACAGGGCCAGGGGCAGGGGTCTGTCCATGAATCATGAATACAAAGTGAGTTCAAAAGTGGTATTAAGTGGTTCAGTCAAAGAAGCAGAAGGAGGAAGAAGAAAAGAGAATTTAAAAGAAAAAAAAAAGGCTTGGGAGAGGTGGTTCAGACCTTCACAGAGGAGAGCGAGTTATGAAGACAAAGAGGAAAATGAAAAGAAAGGTGTTGCCAAGGAAACGGAGGCAATCAGGCACGGAATGTAAAAATCCCGAAGTGGGAGGCAGAGGCAGAAAGGAGAGGGGAGGGGATCCAGGAAATCTTGTCTAAGATGTAAAGGGTAAAATGTCTGTGTGAAGGACATAGAGTGACCTATTCGTTCATTCATTCATTCATTCATTCATTCATTCCACAATGTTTGTTGAGTGGCTGCTATGTGCCAGGTACCGTTCTAGGCTCTAAGGATGGACCAGTGAACAAAACGGACAAAAAGGAGATGAGAACCACATCGACCACAAGTCGACCACAGCTTGACTTCCCTGTGCCCCCCGGCCACATCCTGCACACACACCTCAGCCTCCTCCAGGGCCGACTGCAGCTCCAGCTTCTCAGCCTCCAGCTGCTTGCGGACCTTCTCCAGCTCATGGATGGTTTTTCCACTGGAACCCAACTGCTCAGTCAGGTCGGAGATCTCCTCTGTGGGAGGGGCCGGGCCACTCAGTTGGGGGCTGCCATGGTCCAATGTGGGGGGCACCCTTCCTGGAGCCCCTGGGTGGTGCCACATGAGGAGACTACCCCCAGCCCCTCCCCGGCCTCTCCCGCCCCAGCGCACCCTGAAGGTTCTTGTTCTCCCGTTTGAAGGTCTCCAGATGCTCCAGGGACTCCTCATAGGCGTTCTTGAGCTTGAAGAGCTCTGTGCTGAGGGAGCGCGCCTCCTTCTGCGAGGACTCCAGCTCTGACTGTGACTCCTCATACTTCTGCTTCCACTCGGCCAGGATCTGTGGGGACCCGGCTCACTGCACAGCCCCCAGCCCCCGCCCCAACACCCTGCCACCCCCTGTCCCCTCGGCCCTCCAGGGCCTGTCCAGGCCCCTCGGCGGGGCTCAGCCTCCTTCCTGGCCCCCCAGGAGGAGGTCCCTGGCTTCCTGGTGACGCCGGCCTCCCTGCTCTGCCCCTGGTTGAGGCCCCCAGCCCAGGCCCACCTTGTCGAAGTTCCTCTGCTTCTTGTCGAGGGCCGCAGCGGCTGCGTTGGAGCGCTCCACGTCCACCATCAGGTCCTCGATCTCATTCTGCAGCCGGTGCTTGGTCTTCTCCAGCGAAGAGCACTTGGCATTGACGGCCTCCACGGCCTCCTCAGCATCCTGCAGCCTCTGGGCCAGCTTCTTCCTGCCCGGGGCAGT